AGCAAATAATTTATTATATTGCAATATGAGATCAGTATAAAATGCTGTATTGGTCACATAGAACAAAATTACTGACAATTGGGAACATCAACTATTTGACTTCACAGATGAAGAAAACCAAGATTATTATCAAATTAGTGAGATGTGAAATACTTAGAAAAAAAGGCATTGTCTTTCTTAAGTTACTGTGTCTGGCTTAGAAAGGACAGAAAATTAAGGGTCCAGGTATAAATACTACCACTTAAGAGCTGTAGACCTATAATCAAGGCATTCATTCACTAAGGCTTTCAGGAGAATGTCTGAAAATACATTATATATAAGACAACATGCCAGTAACTTCCATTTCTTCATTTGTTGTAGTACCTGCCAAGATTCTCTCATAAAATTGTGAAGATAAAATAAAATAATGCAAATGAACATTTATCCACTACAGAATATTATAAATATTCCTCCATATTTCACAAAGCGGCCAACCTGGGTTTGATTCCTCCATCCCTCTCAGAGAGTCTGGCAAGCTACCGAGAGTATCCTGCCCACATGGTAGAGCCTGGCAAGCTCCCCACGGCATATTCGATATGCCAAAATCAGTAACAACAAGTCTCACAACGGAGACGTTACTGGTGCCCACTTGAGCAAATCGATGAACAACAGGAAGACAGTGCTACAGTGTTACCCTTACATTGGTTTCTTTTGATGGGGGTCAGGGGTTGGAGCCACAGCGGTGCTCAGGGCTTTCTTCTGGCTCTGTCCTCAGGGATCACTCCTGATGGGGCTTAGGCCACCATATGTGATGCTGGGAATTGAACCCAGCCTTAACCCCTGTACAATCCCTCTAGTCCCTACACTGTCCTTCAGAATCTCTATAATTCCATATGGTAGATATCATCTGAATTTTAGAGACCTGAAACTAAAGCAGAGATGGAGAGAGTACAGCAGGTAGGGTGCTTGCCTTGCATGGAGTCAACATGGGTTTGACCCCCAGTATCCCAAATGGCTTCCAAATGGATCACATGAGTGATCCCCAAGCATAACGCCAGAAAATAATTCCTGAGCATCACCGGGTATGACCCCAAACCCAAAAAACTTAACTAATTAACATAAACTGCTTAAGATCTCAGAATCAGCAAGAATTAGAATCCAGGAATGATAGTCAGTGAAGTTTCTTTATAAATTAGAAACTAGTACTTCCACGCAGGCTGAGAGAAGGATGATCATAAATAAAACTGCATATGATTAGATGCCAAAAGATGAACTAATGACAGTCAGAATAAAATTAGAAACTTTAGCAGAAGGAGGCTAGAAAGGCTTATAGGAAAAGACATATTTGTATGGGACCTGGAAGCATGAAGCATTCTGACAGGTGGTGATGAGAGAAGCCTCAGTTTCCCTCTGCCAGCTGATAAGAGTGGCTCCATGTTGGCTGTCCCCATTCTACATTCTAGACGTTTCTGCAGTTTTCAGGGCTCTCTTTGAAACTGAGGGGAGTCTATAATTTCCTGAGGTCCCAAAACAAAAACCAAACAAACAAATAACATGGGCTTCTCCACAATGGGAAGAAGCCAAAACTAATTTTCTACTTCACCAGCACAAATACTCATAACCCAGTTTTAGACAGGAACATTAAGTTCGATAAAGGAAGAAGTGAGGAACAAACCTGGACATTCAAGAGTTACATTATACCCATGAGCAGAGGAGATCATGCCAATTTATGTGTAATGGAGATAGGGTTCACAATGAATGCCTAAAATAATTTTCTACCATCACTGTCACTGTCACTGTCCTCCCGTTGTTCATCAATTTGCTCGACAGTAACGTCTCCATTGTGAGACTTGTTGTTACTGTGTTTGGCATATTGAATACGTCACGGGAAGCTTGCCAGGCTTTGCCATGCGGGCGAGATACTCTCAGTAGCTTGCCGGGCTCTCTGAGAGGGGTGGAGGAATCGAACCTGGCTCGGCCGGGCCGGCTGCATGCAAGGCAAACACTATCACTGTGCTATCACTCCAGCCCTTTTTTGGAATTTTATCCCAACACTCAGATCTGCTGAAAAGGCAATAGCAGACAATTTGTTTTCTATTGCTGGTTATGAATAACATATGATGTCACGTGGCTGCAGCAGTGGCCGCGCGATTCTGAAATTCCAAAATTTTAACAATTAAATCTGGAGGGATTTCTGCCAAAACCTGCTGGGTTCCGAGATTTATTCCTGAGTCTCTTGGATCATGGCCATTAAGCAGCTTGATCAGGAGTCATAACTTACTAAAAATAAGTCTTTTGTTATGGGGCTACTCATGGCAGTGCTCAGGCTTAGTCCAGGCTCTGTGCTCAGGGATGACTCCTGGTGGGGCTCAGGGCATCATACAGGGTGTCAGGGATCAAATCCGGGTCACCCCAAGTGCCTTTGCTGTACTATCTATCCAGCCCCCAAAATAAATCATTATTTTAAGTAGCATGCTACAACTGAAAGAGGACAATGGAATCTTAAGAGACATGGGACAGCTCACCAATAACACTTATGGAGGTTTACCAGTTTGTTAGTCTCTAAAATAAGGTATTGCAAGTGAAAACATAGTTTATTACCCTTTTCTTTTTCTATTTTTAACCATTTGAGACAGAAGCGATCATCGAAGCCCTAGCTAATCAGGGCATTCAAACTCAATACATCAGGATCCTCCATGAGCTGTATTATGGATTCACTACCAGGATCTCACCATTCTACAAAGAAGTGATCATCGATGTCAAGAGAGGGGTTCAGCAGGGTGATACCATTTCACCGAAAATCTTCAGTGCCACCCTCGAGAACATCACGCAATGACTGGAATGGGAAGAAACGGGAGTGAAGATAGACAGTCGGCAACTATATCACCTCCGCTTTGCTGATGACATCATTCTAATAACACCAAACATTAGCCAAGCGGTACAAATGCTGGCCGACTTCGACCGTGAGTTATGGAAAGGTCGGACTCCAACTGAATCTCACAAAGACAATGTTTATGAGAAACAGTCTCGTTCCTGATGTTCTATTCGTTCTCAATGGACTGACCATCTCTGAATGCAACAGTTATGTGTACCTAGGGTGAGAAGTCAACATGACGAATTCTTGTTGCACCAGAGTTGCGTAGGTGGAAGAGAATGGCTTGGAACGCCTTCAAGAGCGTCGAAGAAATAGCTAAGAGGACGAAAAACCTCTGGCTCTGGACACATCTCTTCAATTCCACTGTTCTTCCTGCATTAACATATGCCACAGAGACCTGGGCCCTACAAAAATAGGATGAGAACGCTATTCGGGTCTCCCAAAGAGGAATCAAAAGAGCTATGCTTGGAGTATCACGTTTCACTCAAATGAGAGAAAGAATTCAGAGTTCTGACCTCCGTCAATGCTCAAGAATCAGGGACGTTATCTCTTTTGCCAAAGCGTCGAAAGAAAATCACATGTGCTGGACACATAATGAGATTTGGAGACAACCGCTGGACTAGAGCCATTACCAACTGGATTCCACGGGACATCAAAAGACCGCGTGGCCGCCCACCTACGAGATGGTCAGATTTCTTCATCAAGACCCTGAATGATCAGTTTTTGGCTCTTCATGTTCCTAGAATGAACAGACGTCACTGGGCTACACTAGCACGCAACAGGGATGAATGGAGACGTTACTGACGCCCGCTTGAGCAAATTGATAAGTAACGGGAAGTCAAGTGATCAAGTGAACCATTTTTACTGAGACGCAAGGATTTCCAATACTGTTAATGATGCTTTTCTTCATTAGTACTGATAATGACCACATTTCTTCAGGGGGTATACATCATTCCAACACCACGCCCACACCCAGAGACCTGAATTCTTTCCGCCGGCTCCCCAGGGACTCAGCCCAGCCACCATCATCCCACCCTCCCCCTGTAGGCTCAGTTCCACAGACAAAATTCCATCACTTTGGCCATTTGTTGTTCACGTGTTCTCTTTCTTTTATTTTTTGTTTCTGTTTCAGGTCCACACCTGACAGTGCTCAGGGCTTACTCTTGGCTCTGTGCTCAAGAATCACTCTTGGCAGCAGTCGAGGGGGTATATGGGGGTCCCAGGAATGGAACCTGGTGTGGCCTTCTGCAAGAACCCACTGTCCAGACCCTTATTATGTTTCTTTATATCCCACATATGTGAGACTTGGGGGTTAGGGAAACACCCCAGGATGCTCAGGAATCACTCCTGGCAGTGCTCAAGGCACTGTGATGGATCCCTAGGTACCTGCAAGCAAGGACCCACTGTCCTACTACTCCAGACCTTTATGTTTCTTTCTATCCCATATATGTGAAAGGGATTTTTTTGTTTTCGTTTGGGTTGGGGGGGGGAGCACGGGAGCACACCTTGCAATGCTCAGGGGTCACTCCTGGTGGTGCTTTTGGGAAACCCTACGGGATGCCAGGGATGGAACCCGGGTTAACTGTGTGCAAGGCAAGTGCCCTACCCACTGTACTATCTCTCCGGCCCCCCTGTAAGAGATCTTAAAATTTACTACAGCGGTGGCGACACATGCACACCATACAGATGAATAACGCTACACTCCTGACATCCACAAAATCGTACATTAAAATTTTTACCGCCGAAACAGTCTATCTTTCCTTCATTACCCTCGGGTTGCCTAACATTCTAATCCATTTATCAATTTCAATAAAACTGTTACGATTAACTCGTAAAAAAAAAAGTATTCTAAAAAAAAAAATCTGGAAATGAGTGACTTTATGCCCAAATAAAGTGACCTGCTCAAGGTCATGCAGATGATGGGGCCGGATCCCAAAGGCGCGATTCCCCGCGCGCGGCTCTCCCCGCTGCAGGCCGGCGAGCGGCGCGGGGGACAGCGCAGGGGGCGGGGCGCGCCGAGGGCCGCGGGGGCTCCTGGGAAGCGCGGCCCGTCCGCGCTCCGGGCCCGGACGCCGGCACGGGCGGGGCGGGCTCCGGCCGCGCCACCTCCCGGCCCCGCCGCTCCGACGCCCGGACGCCCCGTTACCTTGGCCAGCGCTCCGCTCATCCTTCAGGGCTGCAGCCTGCAGCGGTGCAAGCGGAAGCACGAGCAGGGCAGCCGTGATCCCCGGACGTCGGAGAGCAGTGACGGAACGACCTCGGCCGGGTCCAGGAACGATATCCGCCCCGGACCGCGGCTCCCGCAGCACCTTGGTTCCGGCGGCTTCTGGGGCGCCGCCCTCGCCGCGGCCGGGGCGTCCCCTGCACTCCTGGGATCTCCCCCCCCCCCCAGGGAGGTGAACTGCTCCCTACTCGGTGTCGTCCCCTGCTTTGCAGACCTGCCATTTCATCGGTGTCTTGTTCGTTTCTACCGTTTTCCCGTAGGTGTGTATGTAAGTTCCTCGAGGACGGGATTCCTGATTCATTCATCCTCGTTAACACGATGCACGGTGATTTCTGACCTGTTTGAGACGTGATCGATCGTCACGGGAGCTCTCTGGCTTCCAGTGGTTTCATAATAATCGATAACTACTTTATCGAAAGGCCACTTTATGCAGTGCGTTATGCTTAGTGCATTACTTAATTTATGCTTGCATTCTTTTGGACCTGCCCATTAGCGAGATATCATCACTGGACTTCACACGCAACGTTGTGGTGCTTACTTCCATTAAAGAGGCTGCAAGAGGTTAATGGACCAGTCTGGAGGCAACCACGTAAAGCAGGGCTGAATTTCAAACTCATTCTCTCGTCAGCAAGATGGTTTCCCTCAGTCACACCTTGTCTCGCATGAGAAAATGCCACTGCACGCGTTCATTTACCTGTCTTGCATCTGTTAATCAGAGGCTAGAGACATAGCGCAGTGGGTAAGGCGCTTGCCTTGCCCAGAGCAATCTGGATTCTAGCTTCGCCATCCTGTATGGTCCCCCCCGAGCACCGCAGGAGTGATTCCTGAGTGCGGAGCCAGGAGTGCAGTGCAGAGCTCATACCCTGAGCATCACTGTGTGTGGTCCAAAAGCAAAACCCCACCAAAACATCCATTAGCTTAGCACTACTTTATGCCACTCTTTTGATTGGACCCTGTAAACACAGAGATGAATAGGACCTGATCCGTGCCCTTTGGGGAGTCATAAATGATTGGATTGTATCACACAAAAAAATTTTTTTCTTGTGTAGCAAAATAACAGGATAAAGAGATAACCTACAAAGTAAGAAAAATGTAAATTATAAACCTGATAAGCGGTTAAAATCCAATATATATAAAGAATTCATGCAACTCAATAACAAGTCAACAAATAACCTGATTTTAAAAAGGGGCAAAAAAGATAAAGTGTAAAGAATTTGAAATATGGTCACAGCTTAAAAAGAGAAAATAATTCATTTTAACATGAATAATTATCCTACCAGTTTTATAACCTAATAAAAATCAAAGTAAAAGAAAAAAATAAAAGGAGCAAAGGACCTGAACGTACACTCCTCTCTCTCTCTCTCTCTCTCTCTCTTTCCCTCTCTCTCTCCCTCTCTTTTCCTTTCTTTCTTTCTCCCAGGCCTTACATAAGCAAGACAAAACAAGTGCTCTACCATTGATCTACTTACCTTAAACTTTTCTCAAAAGAAGACATACAGATGACTAATGGGTGTATGAAAAAATGCTCATCATCACTAATCATCAAGAAAATTCAAATCAAAATCACAGTAAGTTATCATATCACAGATGTTAGGAAGATAATTGCTACCCCCCCAAAAAAGATAGCAATTGTTGTCTAGGGTTTAGAGAAAGAATGAATGTAATTAGTACCACAATTATAAAAATAGCACAGAGTTACCTCAAAAACTTAAAAATACAAATACCACTTCTGTATTTGCTGAAACAACCATCTCATTCTAGGTCTATTATTTAAAAGAAACCAAATCAGAATCTCAAGAAAATGGTTATACTCCCAAGTTAAATGCAGCATTATTAATAATACCCAAGATAAAGAATAAACCTAAGTATCAGTCAACATATGAAAAGATAAAGAAAAATATATAATGTTTAATTATTATACATTATATATTTATATAAATAAATTATTTAAATATATCAACATTTAATATATATTTAATCTTTCAGTCTTTAGAAAGAAATCCTAACCTTTGTGACAGCTTGATGAATCTGGAGGACATTATGCTAAATGAAATCAGAAGACAAATAATACATGATCTAGCACAGCGGTAGGGCGTTCGCCTTACAAGCGGCCAACATGGCCGACCCGAGTTCGATTCCTCCGCCCCTCTCGGAGAGCCCCGCAAGCTACCGAGAGTATTCGATATGCCAGACACAGTAACAACAAAGTCTCCAATGGAGACGTTACTGGGCCCGCTCGAGCAAATCGACGATCAACGGGAGGGCCTTTACTTTACTTTACTTTACTCATTTGTATATGGAATCTAAAACAGTCAAACTTAGTGGAGTATAGTTTTCTACTAGGATTTGTGGGAAAGGGCTGGGGAACAGAAATATTTGTCAAAAAATACTAAGTCCTGGGGCTGGAGCAATAGCACAGCAGGTAGGGCGTTTGCCTTACATGTGGCCAACCCGGGTTCGATTCCCAGCATCCCATATGGCCCCCCAGCACCGCCAGGAGTAATTCCTGAGTGCAGAGCCAGGAGTAACCCCTGTGCATCGCCGGGTGTGACCCAAAAAGCAAAAAAAAAAAAAAAGTCCCAATTTTATGAGATATCTAAGTTATAGACTGATGCCTACAGTTAATGTGTGGGTGTGGTTGTGGGTGTGGGTGTGGGTGTGGGTGTGGGTGTGGGTGAGAGTGTTGGTGGAGATCGAAGCCCAGAGCCTTATCGTGTGAGACAGACTCTCTACCACTAACCTATATCCCTGATCCCAGCACGATGCCTGCCTATTGTTAATAATACTATACAGAATACCTAAAATACGCTAAAAGAATAGATCTCAAGTGCTCTCATCATTAACAAAAATTAAGGTCTGTATTTTTTTTTTAATTTTTGGGCCCCACCTGGCGATGTTCAGGTTTTCCTCCTTACTCTGCACTCAAGAAACACAACTGGCAGTGCTCAGGAGACAATATGGGATGATGCTGGGGATCGAACCCCGGTTGGTTGAGTGCAAGGCAAGCGGCTTACCTATTTCTCCAACCACATCTCTGAAGATTTTGTTTTTAAGTTTCTAATCCTGGAAATGATGTTGACTACCTGCACTGTAAATAATCTTTTGTTTTGTTTGGGGCCACACCCAGTGATGTCTGGGGAGTATTCCTGGCTGTACTGCTCAAGGATCACTCCTGGCAGTGCTCAAGGTTGGCAGGGATCTAACTGCTAGGCAAGCACTCTTATCTGCCATACTATCATTCCAGCTCCAGTAATCTTTTAACTTTGATAAACCATTTCAATAATCTTTCCACCATGCCAAATCATTAGTTATACCCCTCAAATACACAAAAACAATTACCATAATAAACAATATAATAAACAATTCATATAATAAACAATATAATAAACAATTCATACACATTCTGTGGATAAAAGGAGTATGTAGAAATAAATTTAATATCAAATGAAATAATGTGCAGCTATTTTATTGTCCTCATTATTATTATCACTTAGCTACTATCTTTGTTATTATTGTTCTTAGCAAGGAAAAGGTAGATATTGGACAGATATGGGACAAAGAGATAGCACAGGGGTTAAGGCATTTGCCTTGCATCCTGCTGACCCAGATTTGAATCCCAGTCATCATATATGGTTCCCCAGTGCATTGTCAGGGTTCCCTTCTGAGCACAGAGCAAGGAATAGCCACCTATCATCACTGGATGTGGCCCAAATCCCCCCAATAAAATAAGATGAAGCTAAATTAATTAATATGAGCAGGATTTCATAACACAAGTTCGCTTTGTTGTTGGAATTCCTGCCATGAATCATTGTTCTGTTTTTGCATCACTTCTAATGATGAAATTTCAAGGAGCTACAGAGAGCTATGTAGATAAATCAGTGTCCCCCAAAGGTACCCCCAAGACCCCTGGGAACAGAGTTGCTATGAGAACATCTAAAGAGACAAGTACACCATTAAGTGATACTTTGAGCATAATGCACTTCACAAAGTGATCATTCAGTAAAAACAGTAGCTGTCATCATTTACTATCACCCCATTGGAGGTCAGAAAGAGTTACTTTAGGTCAACCATCTCTTAACTTGAAGCTTAAAGTCAATCTCTTAACTTGAAGCTTAAAGTCAATCTCTTAACTTGAAGCTTAAAGTCAGATCTTTGCATTTTCACTAAAATCAACTACTGATCTCAGTCCTTGAGGAGCTCACATTTAAACCTGGGGATTAAACAGTGACAAGTAATATACAGCCAGATGAGAGAGCAGAACTCTGTACAAAATATTGGGATGGCAAAGGTTTCTGCTTGAAGAAGTAACAGACAATAGTTCCTTCATGACAGCGACTGATTATTGTCTGCAGGGCTGTTTATGTGCTGTTGTGATCCAAAGATGTCTCAATGGGCTGACATGCCACCTTTGCATGTGGGAGGCCCGGTTCAATCCCTGACATCACACAGTTCTCCCAAGCATTGCCAAGAGCAACCAAGCCCAGAGTAGCCCCTAAACCCAACTGAGAGGGACCCCCCAAAGCATAAATAAATAGATAAAATAATAAAAGCTGTTGAAACATTAAAAGAAAAAAATTTATCTTCTTTGGCCCTCACTGTACAAGTGAGATAACAAAGGGAACATCATTTGGGAAGCATTGCAACAAGATACACACGATGTGCTGCCACTGTGGCTCCAGGGCCTGCCACCTGCAAAAGGACACCTGTGCCAAACACAAGAGAAAGGAAAACTGGAGTGCCAAGACAAGAGGAGGAGCACAGCCAGGACCAGTCACAGGAGGCACCTGAAAATTGTATACCGCAGTCTCAGTCATGGATTTCGAGAGGGAACAATGAATCCAAGAGAGCAGCTGTTGCAGCATCTAGTTCGTCTTAAGGATTTCAGCAAGTGATGTGAATAAATGCTCAGGTTTAAAAACAAAAATACAAAAAAAAAGGTAGAGTTCATGCCAATTCAATCAGCTAATCAGTGACTGAATAAATAGCAGTACTCCTACAAAATAAATAAATAATAAAAACAAAAATACTTTTTGTAAGTAAACAGATTTCTCTAGGA